CAATTATCCATCTGTGGCGCATTTATCCAACTGACTTGAAAAAGGCTTTATTAAAATGGAAAATTATTTAAAATTTTTTTATGATGGTTTTATTTGATTTTTATTGGACTGAATATGGTACTGAATTAAACTTTGGCCTAAGCTGTGGCAGCTATGAAAGGTTTGCTAAGACGGCGAGTTACTATTGTTACAAGAACGGAAATCCTTAGAAAAGCTATAAGTTATCGAGACACATTTTTTCAAGTGCGACTCGTTTTTACAAGTTTAACTCTTTTTCTCCAAGTACGACCACCAAGTGTAACCCATTTTTTCCAAGTGTGACCCATTTTTCTAGTGTAACCCATTTTTCTAAGTGTGACCCATTTTTTAAGTGTGGCCCTCTTTTTTCAAGTATGACCAATTTTTCCAAATGTGACCCACTTTTCTACGTGTAAAATAAATAAATAAATAAAATTAAAAAATAAAATAAAATAAAATAAAAAACTTTTCTAAGTATGATGCATTTTTCGAAAGGTGACCCATTTTTCAAGTGTGACCCATTTTTCCAGGTGTGACCCACTTTTACAAGTGTGACCCATTTTTCCAAGTGTGACCCTTTTTTCCAAGTGAGACACATTTTTACAATTTTGGCCCAGTTTTACAAGTGCGACCCATTTTGACAAGTGTGACCCTTTTTTCGAAGTGTGACCCATTTTCCCTAGTGTGACCCATTTTTCCAAGTGTGGCCCTTTTTTCCAAGTATGACCCATTTTCCCAAATGTGACCCACTTTTCTAAGTGTAAAAAGAAAACAAATAAAATAAAAAAGTAAAACAAAATGAAATAAAAACTTTTCTAAGTGTGATGCATTTTTCGAAAGGTCACCCATTTTTCAAGTGTGACCCATTTTTCCAGGTGTGACCCATTTTTCCAGGAGTGACCCATTTTTCCAGGTGTGACCCACTTTTATAAGTGTGACCCATTTTTCCAAGTGTGACCCTTTTTTCCAAGTGTGACACATTTTTTTCAAGTGCGACTCGTTTTTACAGGTTTGACTCTTTTTTCCAAGTACGACCAGTTTTTCCAAGTGTGACCCATTTTTCCTAGTGTGACCCATTTTTCCAAGTGTGGCCCATTTTTCCAAGTGTGACCTTTTTCCAAGTATGACCCATTTTTCCCAATGTGACCCACTTTTCTAAGTGTGATACATTTTTCTATGTTTTATCTATTTTTCCAAGTGTGACCCATTTTTCGAAAGGTGACCCATTTTTCCAAGTGTGACCTATTTTTAGAAGTGTGACCCATTTTTACAAGTGTGACCCATTTTTCCAAGTGAGACCCATTTTTCAAGTGTGACCCATTTTTCCAGGTGTGACTCTTTTTCCAAGTGTGACCCATTTTTCGAAAGGTGACCCATTTTTCCAAGTGTGACCCATTTTTACAAGTGTGACCCTTTCTTCCAAGTGTGACTCTTTTTCCAAGTGTGACCAGTCTTTCCAAGTTTGTTCCATTTATCCAAGTGTGACCCACTTTTCTAAGTGTGACCCATTTTTCTAAGTGTGACCTATTTTTCCTGTTTGCCAATTTTGCTCTAGAGTGTCTCACAAAAATCCGCGTATCACTTAGCCAGCGAATACAGAAGTATTTTGGGCTGTCGCTTGTCTCCGCTGAATAGTATCTCGAGCTTCGATAGCTTGAAATTCTGTATTTTATCGGCATCCAGGATCTTTCTTTTTTAACGCTCTTCAAACTATTCCGAACAGATTAGCAACAATAACTGTATCTTTAAAAGTGAAGAATGATCATCGCAGTAAATTTACCAATTTAAGCAATTTGAAAGAAGAAGCCTGAAAAAAATCAGGGGTTCAGCCATCCCGTTGAAGCCCTGATTTTTTTATCCTTTTTTTTTTTTCAGGCTTCTTCTTTCCAATTGCTTAAATTGGAAAATTTACTGCGATGATCATTCTTCACTTTCATCTACAACCGCAGTTCAAATATGAATTATTTCATATATACTTCACATAATAACTATATCTTTCTATCTTGAAAATTGAAACCACGATGACCACGATGGATCCACGAACCCGCTATTTGTATTAGACGGATCAAAAATATAAACTTCTGCGATGTCAGCTTTAAAAAACGGAAAAGAATCACTTTCGATGAACTCTCGTGGTTTCTGAAACCATTAGCTCGACACGGCGAATCATATTTGGCTCGGATCGAGCGACGGTCCGCGAATTTTATCGATAGATGGCGAATAGAGCATGAATTTGTCACCATGCGCTAGTTCGCACCACCCGTTCTCTGATCTAATTTCGCGCGATGCGTATACAGCGAAGCCTCTGGTTGTAATATTAACTATTTAAACTTTTCTAACCAGGCCATGTATCTTTGGTGATCTGGTTTACCGCATTAAATTGTTCTATCAAATGCTAAACGGCTCATACACCACAAACACCCACAAATTGTGCAATAATGACAGGTTTGTAATCTCATTAGCACAAGCACTATGACTTCGCTGAAAATTAGAACCCATGTCCTGCTGAGTATTTCAGAGTCTCATGAATCTCGTTAAGAAAAGTGTCTTGCCCAAGAACACAATACAATGTCCCCGACCAGGGCTCGAGAATCTGCAACGCTAGATCTAGAGCCGAGTGCACTAACCGTGAGGCCACCGTCACCACACAGCTAAGTGGTAGTGACAGTCATAAGCTAGAAAATCGCTTTATCAATTATGGACTCAAGACTCACCAATCATGAATCCAGTGACAGCACGAAATAAAGCAAACACCCAGAACGCTGGAGCAAAGGCTGAAGCGACATTGAAAACGGAGCAAAGACACCCGCAGATACAGAGCGGATACTTCCTGCCAAACTTGTCAGATATGCTACTCACGAAAATGCTACCAAGAAAAAATCCGGCGAAGATGACCGAGGTTGAGATGAATCCAAATGAACCACGCTCGCAGACAAGGTCAAACTGTGGAATAAATTGTAATCAATTAGAATAATACTGTGACAAAGGCAACGGAAACCGCATTAGTAGTGGCAGTGGCAGTGGCAGTGGCAGTGGCAGTGGCAGTGGCAGTGGCAGTGGCAGTGGCAGTGGCAGTGGCAGTGGCAGTGGCAGTGGCAGTAGCAGTGGCGGTGTCAATGGCAATGACTATGAATGGTATGGCAGTGGCAGTGGCAATGGGAATGCATGGCGATAGCAATGGAAAAGACCAAAGGCAGTGGCAATGGCAAATGGCAATGGTAGAATGGTGTCCTAGCTACAGTGTCTCTGATTGCAGCATATGTGTCGCCTGCCAGAAGAGATTCTTTAACGTATTCTGTTCTTTTGCAGTATCTCAGTGTCACAACATTCCCGCATATTCTACTACTTTTAAGAATTCATGAGCCTAGCAGTTTGAAAACAGAAAGTGTGCCCTTCTTCCCAGAAACCACATGGGTCCATATGTCCAGCAAGTCATGATACCCAAGGAAACGTTCTCACAAGCATGGCATGTCAAGCAGCCATATTAAATTCTTCATTTAGTGGTGGTCGACCTAGTGTAAGTCATGATGTCATGTTCAACAGAATGATGCCAATCTGCCGCATTGGATCTCGGTTGACGAAATCTTAAAACATTTTAAAATATTTCCCTTTTGTCTTCCTGTCTTCTCTGGTCTTCTCGTACGTCCCAAATTAATTCTGGCAACCTTTTAGGGGGAAAGTTGGAATCCTATATTGGATTTGGTGATTCTAAGGGAGTGCTTAATAATAAGCATTTACTATAAGTATCATCCATTTTCGTGCCTGTATAGAAGTACCTAGCCACTCCCATTTTGGAGAAGCAACACATAAAAAATTTGAAAAAGGTTTTGAATATTATGGCAGAAATAAGGGCAAACTCTCTGGAAAGGTAGTCGATAAAAGTGCCGTTTTTTTGTCACTGCCTTGTATATTTTAGCAAGACGTTTCGGCTAACTCTGAAGCCTTCATCAGTTGAAAAACCGCTTGA